GCCCACATTTGTGGCATCCTTGCCGTACTTGTCCTTGATGACCCCCTTGAGCGTGTGGTAGACCTCTGCCCCAAGTCGCATGGCATCACGAAAGCTCTCAGCACCCACCGGAAGGATCATAAACTCCTGCATGGCCAGCTTGTTCCCAGCATGAGAGCCACCATTGATCACATTGAAGGCCTGGGTGCCACAGGACAGAAAAGTCACTGAGAGTTTTTCTTTCTCCACCAGGGAGTGTTCACCCAAGATCCCAAACTTCCCCCGGTTTCCCAGGCCCTGAATCTCATGTCCCCAACCCTTCTCTTTGGCTGACCCAGTTCCCTTTCCTCCCATCAGTCTTCACAAGGTTTCAGGCTCCCCGGCCCCATGTCTGGGAGAGGTACAGGCAAGGTGCAGGGTGCTCACCGGCACAGGCAGGATGAGGTCTGAGTTCCCAGCGAGCTGAGCAATGTGGCGATATAGAGGCAATTCCCGCTCGGCTGCCCCTGCCTTACACACAGCCAGGGACACACCCAGGATGGCATTGGCCCCAAACTTGGCTGGGAGATTATAGAAGAAGGCACTAAGCAAAAATGTCCCCTTCCTCTTCTAGCCCTTGCCTCCACCTGTACTCCTCAAAGGAGCCAGTAAGGAGACCCCCCTCCTCCCTCTTCTCCTGCAACATCTCATCCATTCTGTCCTGAAATAGCAGGGGAGCTGGGGAGAAGGTGACAGGAAAGGGCAGAGAGCTGCACAGATTTCTAAACAGCCCAAAACCAGACTATTTCACGCCAACTTCCTCCCCTTTATGCTGCAAAAAAGTTCTTCCTCGGTCCACCCCCAACTGCAGTTAAACTCATCTTCTTCTGCTCTGATTTTGGGGGTAGGATGAAAGAAGTCCTTCCTCAGGAAGCTCCCACAGTGCTGGCCCCTTCACTTCTCTGTCTGCTCCACACATCCCCACCCTCAGCCTCCCCACTTTCTTCCAGCCGCTGCTTACATTTGTTCTCTGTCCCATCCAACTCCAACATCAGGTTGTCCAGCTTCTCCTGCTCCACCACAGAGAGACCCTGCGGGCAGAGCCACCATCATCCAGGGCCAGAATGGAGGCTGGGCCCTAAGACACGGGGCCCCCCTTCACACAGACTCACATCCGGCCAGGGTCCATAGAGGGCCCTGTGACAGCAACCTGTCTGGATCAGGAGACCTGATCCCCCATGGGAGCAGAGGGCAGTAAGAGGTCATCTTCCCACCCTTCCCTTTGTAACAATGATTCCCAAGGGGTGGGCCTTTCTCCTTCCTCATCCTCCTCCCCTAACGCAGGATTCCTTCCAGGCCCCTGGTCCTGCCACCCCCAGCAAAGAGTGAGCCTCACTGAGCTGATGAGGGCTGGCGCAATGGTCGTGTTGATGTGGTCCACTGCCTTCAGGACACCTGGGAAGAAGCAAAGAGGCCGGGCTGGGTCAGGCCAGGAAGAGCCAGAAGGGAAAAAGGATGGGGGAAGGGATGCAGGAAGAGACTGGTGTGAGGTAGGAATATAAGTAGCTGAGGGGTGGGAGAGCTTAGAAAAGAGAGAAAACCTCACCTTTGCCTAAGTAACGCTGTTTGTCCCCATCCCTTAGCTCCAGGGCCTCATAGATCCCAGTGGAGGCTCCACTGGGCACTGCAGCCCTGAAAAGACCTGGGAGAGGAACAGGGAGTGAGGAGGAAGAGAGAAAGACACTACAAGAACCAGGGATCCCTTTAGCTCTTCACCTCTAAACTCCTGCCTGCCACATGTAGCCCTCTCCTGATACTGCTCCCTAATACACAGACACACATACATACACACTGCTCCTAATACACACACACACACACACACTGCTCCCTAACACACACACACACACACTGCTCCCTAACACACACACACACAGCTCCCTAATACACAACTACTGCCTAATACACAAACACACACACTGCTCCCTGAAACACACACACACATATACACTGCTCCCTAACACACACACACACACACACACAATCTGCTCCATTATACCCACACACACACACTGCTCCCTGACACACACACACACACACACACATATACACTGCTCCCTAACACACACACACACATCTGTTCCCTGATACACACACACACACACACACAAAAGCAGATGCACAAGCAAGGGCTTCCTTATCCACCCAACTGCGGTCCCACATGCACCAGTAGGAACGCAGAGGAATGAAGTTATGCATGCATGTGCACATACACAGGTGCATATACAAACATGCAGAGGCAGGGCATGTGTCATACACTAAACTAGAACACACAGGCCTGCCTATCCTGGCTTCCCTGGACAACAGGATTCAACCCCCACAATCCAGCCTATGAGCCTGGCCCAGCACCCCATCCCTGCTGGGAATCCATCCTAGGCCAGGGCAAACCCAGCACTGGGGAGTGGGGGGCTGTGTTCCAGTCCAGGCCAGCTCAGTACCTCTGGCAGTGTAGAGATCTACTTCCACCGTGGGGTTTCCACGGGAGTCTAAGATCTCTCGGGCCCAGATCTTCTCTATCGACATGATGGCTGGAATCTCCTTGGGTGGAAGGGAAGGAAGGAGAAAGGTAAGAGGCTTAGAGGGGTGGAGCCTGAGATCAGTGGGAGGGGCCAGAGGCTAGGCAGGATGGGAAAGAGGTTACCGCAGTGGGTGGGGGCAGGGGAGGAGCAGGCCGCTACCACCGGCTGTAGAAGGGCTCCCCCCCCACCCCTCCTGGGGAACCGAAGGTCAATGCAGTGAGGAAGGGGAGGTCACTGCAGTGTGGGGTAAGATCAGATCCAACACTGAGGTGGGAGGACACTGCAGTGAAGAGTCGAGGGGCCCGGCAGTGGTTCCCTTGGCCCCTCAGCAGCTTCGGCAGCCGGCTGGTGGGGTTCCCCTAGACCTCCTCAGAAAGGAATGGCTGCCAGGCTTGCTTTTCTCCTTGGAGCCAAGAAGAGGATGGGTAGTCTGGACAGCTGAAGCCTTTCCTCCACAGCCCTCGTCCCACTCAACTTACCCCGTCCCCAGCCAAGGTCCCAACCTCTCTCCCAAATGTAGGTCCCCCTCCTCCTCCCCACAGTTGTACAGTAGAGAAGTCTGGGGAGAGGGTCCAGGGAAAGGCCCTCAGTCCCAGGGGGTTGCAGCGGGCAGGGAGGAGGAGGAGGGACCCGGGGGGAGAGGCAGGGCTGGGCCGGTTCTCCAGCTGCCCCTGAACAAATCCCGGCGCAGCTAAGAGGGGCGAAGTGAGGGAGGAGTGGGAGAGAGGGAGTCCAGAGGAAGTCTGGGGATGCTGCGGAAGGGTGAGGGAAGACATCTCCCCAGATGCAAAGCCAAGAGGACGTGCCAGGATGAAAATGCACGGGCCGGGGGGAGACCCCGAACTTAATGTCGACAGAACCCGAGGCGAAGCGGGCAGGCCAGAGTGGAGAAGGGTTGGCGCCCAAGAGAGGAGAGGGCGACAGCCAGAAACCGAGAGGACCGGTCGGGAAGGCGGGGAAGGAGGGTGCCGGGGAGGGGCGGGCGACTGAGCAGGTGCGCAGTGCCCGGGGAAGAGATGCGCGCGGGCCAGGGGAGCTAGGCGGGGGCGCGGCGGCCAGGGCACCGGCCGGAGGGGCGCAGGGGCCGGGCTGGGGCTTCACCTCGGGGCAGCAGACTCAGCCTGTGGCGGTGACAGTGGCGGCAGTGGCAGCGGCGCAGAGAGAGCGGGAGTGGCGGCGGCGGCGGCGGCGACTGCGGCTCCCGAGCGGCGGGCGGGGGGCGGGCGGGGGGAGGCGCCGATAGGGCCGGGCGGGCGCATGTGACCCGGAGCCCCCGATGAGTCAGGAGCCGCGGGCGGAGGCGCACGTAGGAGTGTGGATTGGGGGCCGTTGGGGGTGTAATGGGGGAGGGCTGGGGGAAAGTGATGGGGGAGGGACTGGGGGCGACCCAGAGCCTGCCTTTCCCAGAGCCTACGCACGCTTCTGCCCACCTCCCGAACCCCTGGAAAGTAACAGGCACAGCCTCACGGAGTAATCTGATTCCTGAGGCCCGCCACAGCCAGGGAATCCCGTGATAGACTCGGTATCTCCCAAACCCGGTCAGACGCAAAAGTATCAAAATGTCTCTTTATTCGAAAACCGAGCTGTTCGTAACACCCCAGCCCGCCTCCGCAGCCCGTCTGCAGCCAACTCTACCAGCATCCCCTCGGCCCATCCAGGCTGGGCTCCTACCAGACCTGCCTGAAGGATGCCGCTGCTAGAGCGCAGGCCCACCCACCCCGCTGCCCATAGAGAGTCTGAGGGGCAGGCTGTGCTGAATCCCCAGGTCAGGGGCAAGAGAAGGCATCCTCTGTCTCCGGATGAGGGTGTGCCCGCGGTGGACCCTGCTAACGGACTCTTCTTGGGTGTTGGGGCCTGTGTCTGATCCCCTGGAGGAAGAGGACAGAGTAAACCCTCTGGGCCCCTGCATTCCCGCTGCTGCGTCTGCCCCCATCTGAAGAGCCCAGCTGCTACACTTCCCTGGGCTCACTCCTTAGTCTCCTTCTGCCTCGCCCTGTCCTCCTTTCTTCCCCTCACCTCTGTGTCCTATTATTTTTAGCTTCAGATTTTTAGTGCAGGATCTCTCTCTCCTGCCTTCTCTCCTAGGCCCAGCTGCATTCCTCATATACCACCAACCACATTCCTACCACCACCACCACCTTGCCCCAGACCTGGCCTTTCCAGCTGATTCTTCAGTCTCGGTCAGGCATGGCTGCCCACTCCACACCATCTCTGCCTGCCACCCCAATTCTTTTCAGTTATTCTTCTGGCTTCCTGATGTATCTCCTACGCCTTTTCTTAGCTCCCCCTCAGCCCTGCTGGTCCTTTCTTCTCACCCTGAGACACCCCCTGACTCCTAACCCTGATCTCTCCAAGGTTCCTCCTTGAATAATGTCTTCCTCACCCACTTCCTCCTATAGCAACTTCTCTCTCCCCTATGTGCCAGGCCCTTTGCCTCCTCTTCCTGCCTCCCTGCCAGCTTCCTTACTATCCTTGAAGGGTAGAAGAACTGCAGCTACATCGATGGCTGGTCCAGTTCTGTGTCGTGATCAGGATCAGTCTCCTGCTCCTGCTCCTCCTTCAACCTCTGACGAATCTCAGTGGCCTCAGCCCGATCCTCCTCCTCAAAGAATTCCTTGTCCAGACGTTCCAGGTGTGCCATCTGCACCAGGGCCTCCTGGCGGTAGTCACTCTCATCTGCACATGGGTTGTCCAGCAGCACCAAGGCTCGAAGCTTGGGCAGGTTCCGAAGCTTGGTGAGCTCCCGCAGACTGGTTACCATGTTGCCCCTATGGGTGCAGTCATGAGGGGTTCACTGGGGAATGATAGGTTTTGGAGGCCAGCTACCAGAATTGGGGCCCCTGGGGGAATCTCCCGTGGGCTCTGGTTTCCTTAGAAACACTGCCTCTGTGGATTGGCCTGCCAAGCATGACCAGCTTTGCTGCAGAGTTGCTGTCCAACTCTACTCCTGTCCTGCTTCTGCCCTTCAAGGAATCCCTAAGTGACATATTCTATTCTGCAATATGTCATATTTATCCTTCTGGAACAGCAAAGCTAGGTCACAACCCAGTCTTGTAGTTGGGAAGCAGGGGGGAAATCTCCCTTGCAGGGACAGACTTCTGTGTCAATGACACCTAATCAGAGGTTAAAAGATAGGACTTGGGCCAGTGGAGGAGGAACAGAGATTGAAGCTCAAGGTGGTGGGTGCTATGTTGGTGCTCCCCACTGGAAGGAACCTATAGGTAGGGATAGGCTGGGCCCTCCCAGCCTGAAGAGCAAGCTTTATCTCCTAAGCTTCATGTTCTTGATTCAAGTCTTTATAAAGTCAGGTTTAAATGTTTCCACTTTATCTCAGCGGAGGTGTTAAACCTCACGCCGTTTCTCTCACCAAGAGCACTACATGCACTTTGTGCTGGACTGTCCTGTGCATTGCAGATTTAGCTACTTTGGCCCCAGAGGTCCCTCCTAGACATGAAGACAATGCATCTCAACTACACTTACTACCAAACCTTCCCAGTGCACAGCCACTGAGAAGGATCCACTCTCCCTGCCTAGATTGTTAACTGGAAAACAGAAGCCCCATCCACCCTACCAGACCAATGTGTCAGAGCTAACTAGCAAGACATTGCTCCATGAACTAGGGATGGAATTGGGGTTCAAGGTGCAACCTCATCTCCCTACTTGGAGATTCTGTTTCCATTGCCAGTCTTGACTAAGGAGGCCTTGTTGTTGAAGGAGGCAGTTTCCTTACATCTTTGCTTAATGAAACATACATAAAATCCTCCATTAGACAAGAGTTGCTGAAAGAAAATCCCCGATCCCCTTTTCTATCTAGAGATTTTCTTTCAAATATTCTCCTCTGCTCAAATCTGAGCGTATCTTGTATTTTATATAAGTAAAGGGGCCTTATAGGTGGGACTAGGATAAGAGGGGCAGGAAATGGCAAGGGAAATTGGGGCCCAGAAGATGGAGAAGCAAAATGGAAACTTATATGGGATAGAGCCAAAAAAATAGAGTTAGAGATGAACTGAGTCCCTTGAGAACAGGGACCATATCTGATTCCTTTAGATGTTCCTGAAACACTGCACAAGGCCTGGCACATAGCACATTCTCAATAACTGTATTGAATACATAAGGATTTGGGGGTCTCAGGCTATAAAGATCTCAGTGTTGGAATTAGGAGTGAATGCAGAAGGAAGGAGAGGAGGGATAAGGATCAGGATGGAGGATGAGGTGAAAATCTGGGAGTAGGGTATGATTGGGGGATGGGCCAAAGAAGACAGGGTCAAAAGCTGCTCCTGGTCAGGAGTAGGAGCAAGGTGGGACCTGGAGGGGTGCATACCTCAGGTTGATGTACTGCAATGATTTCATTTTCTCAGAGAAGCCACTCAGAGTTTCTATCTGGTTGTCTCGAAGATGCAGGGTAGTGAGATTTGTTAGGTTCTCTAAGCCTTCCACTTTCTTCAACATGTTCTGGGCCTAGACTCCAGGATACAGTAGATACACCGGGAGAGGGGATAGGGAAGGAAGATAAGTCAGAGAAAGATGCAGCAACAGAGGAAATCTAAAAGGTAGATAGGGAGGGGTGCACAAAAGTAGAGGGGGGTAGAGATCAGTAACGAGAGTAAAGAAATCCAGGAGAAGCTGTCAGTCCAGAGAAAGGTCAGCAGTAACACCCTACTGACTGCTCATCCCACCAAAGCCACCTCTGATTAAAAAGGCAATACTTCAACTCACTCCCAGGTCTAAAAGCCCTCTTCTGAGGAGAAATGACTTCAGCACCATCCTGGAATGAGGACACTTGAGAGTCTAAATGACTGAACTTTTAAGTGGCCTCGTTAGCCTGATGTCTGTACCTCACTTATGGCACATAATGCTGCTACCTGTGTCAAAGCACACTGTTTCTGTATATCCACCCATTGTGTATTATCAGCCCTGCTAGGTGGTTAGCACCTTGTCTGCTTTAACTTTGCATCATCACAGCATCTGGCATCAAGTAAGGGCTCAATAAATGATACCATTTATCATTATGTTGATAAAGTTAGTAGCTGAGACCATTAGAAGTCAGACATCCTGGCCCCCACAACAATGTCCTCTTCCCTGCACCAACCACCTTCTGACCCAGTGAGCTACCAGGAAGAGGTTCTTCAGCTTAGGAAGGTTGATTCCCAGTGTGCTTTCCAGTTGGTTCCCTCGAAGCTCCAGTGTGTGCAGACTGATTAGCTTTTGGGGGTCCAGACCTGTCACCATGTGGATGTTGTTCCCTGAGGAGCAGGAGGGTATATCAAGAACTCAAAGGGCCACTCAAAAATGTTCAGCAGCAGAGCCTGAATTTTGGAAGCCTCTGCATTTTTCTCTCCCTCTAATGCCAGGTGGATATGGGAAGAGACAGGTCCAGACTTAACATCTCAAGGGCCCTGGAGCAAGTGGTCTGGTGGTCCAGGGCCTGAAGGACTTATCCACCCAGCAATCCACATGGCTAACTTCCTCTCCTTCCTTGACTTTAGAGAAAGAGGAAGGGAGAAAGAGAAAGAAACATCAATGAGAGAAACACCCATCAGTTGCCTCTCATACTTGCCCCGACCAGTGATCGAACCTGCAACCTAGGTACATGCCCTGACTGGGAATCAAACCTTCAACATTTTGGTACACAGGACAACACTCCAACCAACTGAGCCACCTGACCAGGGCTCCAATGTCAGCTTTTTAGTGATGCTTGTCCTAACCAACCTGTTTGAAATTGCCACTTGTGCCCACCCCCCCCCCATTCCTTTTACCCTGATATGTTTTTTCCATAGCATACATCTCCTTTTAACTAACTGTATGAATTTACTTATTGTGTTTATTATCTGTCTTCCCCATCTAGATTGTAAGCTACATGAGAATAGGTACTTACTTTGTTTTATCTCCAGTACATAGAAGTGCCATAATGAATCATAATGTGTCTGAATGAATGAGTGAATGCAAATTGCTGTGTGGCACAGCCAAGGACCACACTGCCCACTTCTGTTGGCCCCAGGCCAAGAAGGAAAAAAATCTGTGTAACCCATCCTAAGACCCACCTTTGAGATTCAGGGTGCCCAGTCGAGGATGAGAGATGCCCTCAGTGTCAGTGATCTGGTTATAGGCAAAACTGGCAACCTGCAGGTAGGGCAGTTCATTCAGCTGGGCACTCCGCAGCCGGTTGCCATCAGCCTTGAGCCAGAGCAGGTGGGTGAGGTAATTGAGTGGGGACAAGTCTGTCAGATGGTTCTCAGAAACATCCACATAGCGCAGATGGATGTAGGAACGTAGCAAGTAGATGTCTGTCAGCTCTCTAGGAGATAGTAGAGGCCACAGTTAAGGTTGACAATCCATGCCCTGGCTGGTTTGGCTCAGCAGTTAGAGCGTTGGCCCGCGGACTAAAGAGAACCGGGTTCGGTTCCGGCCAAAGGCATGTACCTCGATTGTGGTTCATCCCAGGTCCTGGTTGGGGCCGTGCGGGTGACAACCAATCGATCTCTCTCTCTCTCTCTCTCTCTCTCTCTCTCTCTCTTTCCCTTCTTCCCTCCCGCTCTATCTGAAGACAAATGGAAAAATGAGGATTAAAAAAAAGAAGAAGAGCCCTGGCCGGTTTGGCTCAGCGGTTAGAGCATCGGCCTGCAGTCCAGAGAGACTGGGGTTTGGTTCCCGCTAAGGGCATGTACCTTGGTTGCAGTTTGTCCCCAGCCCTGGTTGGGTCATGTGGGTGGCAGCCACTTGATGTGTCCCTTTCACGTCGCTGTCTCTCTCTCTCTCTCTTCCTTTCTCTCCCTCCCACTATATCTGAACAACAACAACAACAACAAAAAAGAAGAATCCAGCAAGAATTGGCAGAGGTGCTCAAGCAGAGGGCAACATGGAGCTGCCTTATAATGGGGAGAATGGGTGACATATTGGAGGGGTGAGAGGAAGAGAAGGTAGTGAGCAAGGCCATTGTGTCTGTGAAGGGCTAAGAACTTAAACTCTGAAGGACTCCCCACATACCCTCTCACAGTTCCCAATCCCCGGGCCAGCCCTGATGCAGAGTCTCAGGGCTCCTGAAAAGTAAATTCCATCCTTCCCTTCCACTGGCCCAGGATGAGAGATTCAAACTCTCAGCCAAAACACTCAGGAATGAGGGTGAGAAAGGAGATTGGGTCCTACAAACCTGTCTTCTTCTGCCCCCCCCCCCCATAAACGCACCTCTCTTTAACCTCCAGCTTGACATAAGCATGGGCCAATCCATTGCCAGTCTTACAGAGCAAAGAAAGCCCTTCCTTCATCATGTCCTCCATGAGGGGTGTGGGCATCCACTGCAGGAGAAAGCGGAGTCAAGCATCCCTTTCCAGACCAACCCATCCTTAGCCCTAGGACCTCTCCGTTTCCGTTTCCATGCTCTCACTTCCTCTAAGAAGTCTTCCTCCTCTTTCCTGTCTTCGTCCCACTCCTCTGTCTCCTTCTCATCATCTTCTCTTTCCAGATCATCTTGGTCTGGCTCAAAATCTTCCAGATCCTCTTCATCCGACATCTTTCTTCCCTGTTGAGGGCTCTGGTGTCTGATTAAGCTGGGTCCTCCTCCTGAGAAAGAAGGTCTCCTCTGTGTCTGCCACCCCTCAGCTCCCTCACCTCCATTGATGGGGAGGTATCACTCCTCCCATCACCCTGAGCTCTTCCCAAATATGCTTCTATCCTCATCCCTTTGACCATCTCATTTTGACTCCTAACCTCCTCTTCATATTTCCCACCAAGGACCCCTCTCTTTTCAGGATGCCTTTTCAGACCCCTGAGACCTTCTCTGCCCTTCACAGTGGTTCCAACTCTCCTCCAACAGCTCGGTCTCCCTGCCTCCTGGACTCCCCTCTCCCAGTTCTTCCCACCTCCATTTTAAATTAAGCTATATCGCCCTGGCTAGTTTGGCTCAGCGGTTAGAGCGTCGGCCTGCGGTCTGGAGAGACCCGGGTTCGGTTCCCGCTAAGGGCACGTACTTCGGTTGCAGTTTGTCCCCGGCCCTGGTTGGTCGTGCAGGTGGCAGCCACTCGATGTGTCCCTTCACGTCGATGTTTCTCTCTCTCTCTCCCTTCCTCTCTCTCCCTCCCGCTCTATCTGTACAAAAAATGGAAAAATATCCTCGGGTGAGGATAAAAAAAAATAAAAATAAAAAAAATAAATTAAGCTATATCCACCTTAAAAAAAAAAGCTACCTCCTCTTCTAGTCTCCCTTCCCGACCCCTTCTCCTTCATCCCTAACTCCTGCTCCACTCATTCCTTCTAACTCTCCCACCCTGCTTAGCCCCATTTCCCTGTCCCCTCGGGGACACCAGCCTGACACAGACTCCAGTCCTCCCACCCAATCCTCCTTCCAGAAGGGCGCAGCCTCTGGTTCTGCCCAATTACAAGCAATTCTGGAGAGGGTCTTGGCCCCGAGAGTGAAAGATTGTTTTGGAAGAGGGGGGAAAGGAAAGGAAACGTTGTGTACTATTGTTATGGCAACGGAGAGGCGGGGCTCTGGACGTGCGCAGTTGATATCCGTTGAGAGAAGAGCAGGGTCAGTAGCTGACAGGTTACGAACCCACTGTCTCAAACCCAGGAACCCGGATGATGGGCGTTAATTGGCTGAGGGCGTAAAGCAGCGGGCGGGGCTTAGAACTGCCAAGGTAGGGAGAGGAGGCGGGGCTGCCCATTACGTCACCTGAGACCTTAAAGGGACCGGACCTCCTCAGTGCGAGGTACTGTGAATTCAAAAAAACTCATCCGCGGAAGCAAAAGGCGGGAGCAGAGGGGCAAAAATACCAAGGTAAGTGTTTTTGTTCCCGCTCCCCACCTCCCCCCTAGGGTCGCGTCCATCCCTTATTTTCAGGTAGTGGAGTGGAAGAAGCCAGGACCAAGGTATCTTAAGACCTGAGTTGAAGTCCTGACAGGTCCGCAGTTTACTGGCAACTTACCTAAGACTCCACTTTCTCTTCTGTAAAATAGGCTTAACTTTATACCAACGGCCAGGGATTGAGCACGAGACTAATCTACTCTAAAGAGCTGTACAGACTGCTAAACCCAATTTGGGGGCATTTCACTCCTCCCCATTCTGAACTGGTTTGATGCAAACCTTTTGGGGAGAAAATCCAACATGTGCCCACTAAAATACTCCTCAGACACTATTGTTACATAAATAATCAACCAGAACTGATACAGCCAAACCCAGCCATTCAGGTCTGTGTGACTTACTGAAGGAGATGAAAGGAGAGAGGTTGAGATGCAACAAATATTTTCTGCCAGACATTGTGTGAGATGCTTTTACAAGTGATATTTAATCTCCGCACCAGTCCTGTGAGATAGATACTTGAAAGAAGAGGAAAGACCCAAGGAGGTTAATTTTTCTTTTTCTTTTTCTTTTTATTAGCGAGAAGGAGAGAGGGAGGAAGAGAGAGAGAGAAACATCTATGTGAGAGAGTGGTTGCCACCCACACGACCCCAACCAGGGCCAGGGACAAACTGCAACCGAGGTACATGCCCTTGGCGTCTAACCACTGAGCAAGACCGGCCAGGAGAGGAGGTTAATATTTATAACACAATTCCTGCCCAAGGAAAGGAGATTACAAATCTTGTGGAATCTAATATAAATAAAATAATTAGGCAACAAGATACAATATTATGTGATTAATTGTGAAATTATACATTATAAAGTGGTCTAATGAAAGATGTGGTGGGCTAGAAATCAGGAAATACTACCTCCTACCCTGTCCAGTTTGGGCAATATAGTTAACAGACAAATCTGTTTTTTGTTTGTTTGTTTTTAATTTTTTTCTTTATTAATTTTATATATATATAGAGAGAGAAATCTCTGAGAGAGAACCACCTCCTGCATGCCCCCCACTGGGCCACAACCTGGGCATGTGTCCTGAGCGGGAATCAAACTGGCAATTTTCTTGGTGCATGAGTCAATGCTCAACCACTGAGCCACACCGGTCAGGCACCAGGGGATAATTTTATAGTACATATGTATAAAGAGCTCAGTGGTGCCCTGGCTGGTTTGGCTCAGTGGTTAGAGTGTTGGCCTGCGGTCCAGGGAGACCCGGGTTTGGTTCCTGCTAAGGGCATGTACCTCGGTTGCAGTTTGTCCTCGGCCCTGGTTGGGTCGTGCGGGTGGCAACCACTCGATGTGTCCCTTTTACGTCGATGTTTCTCTCTCTCTTTCTCTCTTCCTCTCTCTCCCTCCCACTCTATCTGAACAAAAACGAAAAAATGTCCTCGGGTAAGGATAGGAAAAAAAAAAGCTCAATGGTTGTGCAAAGAAAGCAGGTAGTTATGCTGGCTGGAACAGTAGGTGCACTTAGGGGTGAAGTAGGAACAGCAAACAGAGCTGGAGCACACTAAGGAATGAAGATTTTATCCTGTAAACTGTGAGGCACCACTGGAGGTGTTATTTCGAGTTTCGTTGACAAGAGCTAAATCTGCACTGTGTAATGAGAACTAGATACTTTATGCTCCTTGATGGCGTCCTTCCCCTAGTAGCTGGCCTAAATAGAACCTTCTTTGATTTTATTTTTATTTATTTATCCTCATTCGAGGACATTTTTCATTTTATTGTTCAGATAGAGTGGGAGGGGGAGAGAGAGAAAAATGTCGATGTGAAAGGGACACATCAAGTGGCTGCCACCTGCACAACCAACCAGGGTTGGGGACAAACCGGCCAGGGCGAACCTTCTTTGATTTTAAAAGTAATGCTTAATTAAAATGAAAATCAAATAATAGAGAAGTGTAGAAGGAGAACATAAAAGTCCATGACTGCCCTGGCCGGTTTGGCTCAGCGGTTTTAACGTCAGCCTGCGGTCCTGAGAGTCCCGGGTTCGGTTACCGCTAAGGGCACGTACCTTGGTTGCAGTTTGTCCCCGGCCCTGGTTGGTCGTGCAGGTGGCAGCCACTCTATGTGTCGATTTCATGTCAATGTTTCTCTCTCTCTCTCTGTTCCTCTTTCTCCCTCCCACTCTACCTGAACAAAAAACAGAAAAATGTCCTCGAGTAAGGATTAAAAAAAAAAAAAAAAGTCCATAACCTCCCTCAGTACCACTCTCATTTTTTAAGAGTTAATTTATTAATAAACATTTTTAAGAAACAGAAGTGTGCCCTGGCCGGTTTTGCTCAGTGATTAGAGCGTCGGCCCATGGACCAATGAGTCATGGGTTTGATTCCAGTCAAGGGTACGTACCTAGGTTTCAGTTCGTCCCTGGCCCTGGTTGGGGTCAGGTGGGAGGCAGCTGGTCGATGACTCTTACATCAATGTTTCTCTCTCCCTCCCCCTTTCCCTTCCTCCCTCCCACTCTATTTGAAGATAAATGGAAAAATATCCTCAGGTGAGGAGAAAAATTTTAAAAGGAAACAAAAGTGGTATCAATCATATATACTGTTCATTATGTCCATTATGTGTATATATGGTAATTATTAAACTGTTTCCTATTGATGGATATTAACTTTAAAAATTGTCCACATTATAAACAGTGTTGCAACAAAAATCCTCATAGACATGTCCTTACTCTTCTGCATAAGTACTCTGTAGCAGTACTTTTCTTTTTTCTTTCTTTTTTTTTTTAATCCTCACCCGAGGATATTTTTCCATTTTTTGTACAGATAGAGTGGGAGGGAGAGAGAGAGAGAGAGAAACATCGATGTGAAGGGACACATCGAGTGGCTGCCACCCGCACGACCAACCAGGGCTGGGGACAAACTGCAACTGAAGTACATGTCCTTAGCGTGAACTGAACCCGGGTCTCTCCGGACCACAGGCCGACGCTCTAACCGCTGAGCCAAACCGGCCAGGGCAGTACTTTTCTAATTGTAGTGTGCATAGGAATTGCCTGAAGTTCAGATTAAAATGTAGATTCGAACCCAGCAAGTGATGCCAGTGCTGCTTGTCCACAGACCACACTGAGTAACATGTCTCTGTGAGATAGTCTTAGAAGGTGCAATTTCTGGTTCAGAGGGTGTGTAATTAACTTTGCCAATCATAACAGGTTGAAAAATAGGTATGTCATTGTTTTGTTTTATTTTTATTTTTTATCCTCACCCAAGGACATTTCTGCATGTATCTTCAGATAGAGAAGAAGGGAGAGAGGGAGGAAGAGAGAGAGAAACATCAACATGAGAGAGACGCGTAGACTGGCTGCCACTCACACAACCCCAACCAGGGCCGGGGACAAACTGCAACCAAGGTATGTGCCCTTAGTGGGAACCAAACCGAGTCTCTCTGGTCTATGGGCTGACACTCTAACTGCTGAGCCAAACCAGCCAGGGCGATATGTCATTATTATTATTATTATTTTATCCTCACCCGATGACATTTTTTTTTGCATTTATCTCAGAGCAGGAGGGAGAGAGAGGGGAAGAGAGAGAGAAACATCAATATGAGGGAGACACATCAACTGGTTGCCACTCACATGACCCCAGCTGGGGCTGGGTATAAACTGCAACCGAGGTACATGCCCTTAGCAGGAACCCAGCCCGGGACATTCTGGTCCGCGGGCCCACGATCTAACCGCTGAGCCAAACTGGCCAGGGCGGTATGTCATTATTTTAATATGTATTTTT